GCTGCAGTGGAGCGAGGGACACTGGGCCTTAATCAAGCCCTCCCTCAATGCAAGAACACTTTGTTCTGATCACCCGGCCTTCTGCGATGCTCACCTTCCCGACACAACCGCTGAAGACAAAGGGGTGCACAAGCAAACGTGGTGAAGGAAGCCAAGGGTGCCCGGCTATCGGAAGATACAGCGTCTGGGGCCTTAAAGGCCTGGAGGTCAACAAGCGGCCGGCTAGCAGGGAAGCAACAAAGCCCACCTGGAAGAAGCAGGCCAGCCTGTGCGACACGACATGTCAGAGGGACCAGGCATCGGAAGACCCCACTGTCCTATGGATGTGAACGAGGGGGTCACCGTGGAGACCCCAAGCCCATCTGCAGGGAATGGAGCATCCCCGCACAGCAGGGTCCCCAGAAAGGGTGGAGCCCGGCAGGGTGCAGCACAGCACTGGAGACCCCACATCCCCCCAGCTCTTTAATGCCTCCTCCACCCCCAGTGCCGAGACCGAGTCCCAGCGCACAAAGCCGGCGGGACGGAGCACGTGCACCGTCCAGATAAGGCTCTCGGCCCGCGGGGTCCAGGGCAGAGAAACCGCCCAGGAACGACCATGATCATGATCCTAGCGATGCCAGGAGGGCAGGGGAGGTGGGGAGACAAAGGGGGAACCGATGGCAATGACCGCCGTACAGCCCCCACCCCGACCCACGGATGAACAGAAATGTGGGTGCAGGTGGCGGGGAGCAGACGGGGTAAGAGATGCAAAGAATAAGAACTGATAACTTATTAGGGGTTCACGAGGGTGGAGGAGGGAGGAGGGAGCTGGTTCCAAGGGCTCAGGTAGGAAGGAAACGCTACCGGAGGAACCGCGAGGACATGACTGACCCAAAAGAAAAGAGAGCTTCCCCGGTGGCGCTGCGCTTAAAGCGCTCAGCGGTGACCGGCGAGGCTGCCCAGGGAACCCACTGCCCTCCCAGTGACCGTTGCTCGGGCTGGGAATCCCGGGGGCCGTTGTCCCGCCGTCCAGGGTGAGACGGGTCTCCTTGGCAGTGGACTTTGGTCAGGGGGGGCTTGGCTTCTGCAGGCTTTGCGGAGTAGGGGCGGCCGTCACTGCGGGTGCTCGGGGCCGGGGCAGCGGCAGAAGGGGAAGAGGCCGCAGCAGGGCTGCAGCCAGGGCTTCCACACGTTGCTCGTCCCGTCCAGCTGCAGGGGGACCGGGCTGAGCGTCCGCTGGTGCTCCCGCACCGCCTGGGCCACGCGCTCCACCACCCGCCGGAAGGAGGGCTCGGTGGCCGGCGTGAGGGCCCGGGCCTCCGCGGGGTCTCGAGACAGGTCGAAGAGCAGGGGCGGGTCGTGCCGGGTGACCCCCGGCGGGGAGCAGGGACACACCGCTCGGTCGTAGCAGGCGCCGGCGCCCTCCGGGTGGAAGTTGGGCGTCACAAAGTGGACCTTCCAGAGGGCACCTCCTGGGCGGGACAGCAGAGAGGGGGTGAGGAGGAGGCGCCCGGCCGAGGCTGGCCGCTGCCAACCCTCACTGCAGCCTGGAGGGGAGGCAGCACCCCCAACCGACTTGCATTAAAGAGCTTGCTTCTTGACAGCAGCCGACAGCCTCATTGTTCTCGCTTGGAGCGGCTGGTGGGTTTGAACTGCTGACCTTGCGGTCAGCAGCCTCTGCCTCATCTCCTGAGCCCCCAGGATCCTAACACATGACCCCGGGAGGGGAGAAAGTCAGCGTCCAAAGTGACGTGAATGGACACGAGGCCGCCCCTCGGTAGCCCTGGTCCTGGGGCCCTCCCTGGGGGTCCCCGGCCAGCCCCCACTCACGGCTCCTCTGGTGCCAGCGGGCGGCGTGCAGGACGTGCTCGCAGTAATGCATCAGAAACTCGTGCTCCGAGTGCGCCGCGTCCCCCCGCAGCAGAGGCATGAGGTCCCGGCCATCCAGCACCCTGTGGGCAGCAGTGGGCACTCAGGGTTAGGCGGATGCGCTGCCGGCACCTGTGGCAGACAGCGCTGGGCCCTGGCCCGCTCGCTCGGGAGCGTGTGAGCCTCCACTGCGAGATGGACGGCAGTGTCCCCCACTCAGGTCTGTGGGAAAGAGACCTTGGTGGCACCGTGGGTTTGGGGTCCGCCTGCCGCACACAAGGCTGTTGGTTCAAACCCACGCTCTGCTCCGAGGGAGAAAGATGAGGCCGTCTGCTTCTGTGGACTAAAACTCACTGGTACAGAGTGGACGCCGACTCACGGCGACCCTGCAGGACGGGGCGGAGCTGCCCCTGGGGGTCTCCCAGGCGGTCAGTCT